GAGCAGCTGGAAGTATAATAAAATAATTAATTTAAAAAAAACATGCATGCATGTTACTAGCATATTGGCTGTGTATTAGTACTTATAAATCACATATTAATGCCTTATTCTGCATGACCATATCTTAATCCCACTAACTACTACCTACTAACTATTAATAAGCAGCAAATTAGGAGTTTATAGAGAAAAAAGTCATAGTTAATAATTAGTTAATATCTTAAAATAAAGTGTGACCATATATAAGGTTTATTAAATTCAGCATCTACATTTATGACATTGCATCAACCATTAGGAGAAATGTGACCATGGACCACAAAACCAAGTCATAAGGGTCAATTTTTCGATATTGAGATATATACATCATCTGAAAGCTGAATAAGTAAGCTTTCCATCGATGTATGGTTTGTTAGGATAAAACAATATTTGGCAGAGATACAACTATTTGAAAATCTGGAATCTGAGGGTGCAAAAAAATCTAAATATTGAGAAAATCATCTTTAAAGTTGTCCAAATGAAGTTCTTAGCAATGCATATTACTAATCAAAAATTAAGTTTTGATATATTTACAGTAGGAAATTTACTAAATATCTTCATGGAACATGATTTTTACTTAATGTCCTAATGATTTTTGGCATAAAAGAAAAATCTATAATTTTGACCCATACAATGTATTTTTGGATATTTTTACAAATATACCCCAGCGACTTAAGACTGCTTTTGTGCTCTAGGGTCACAAATAAAAACAGACACAAACGATGGACAAATAAGAGGTTGGAGCTGTAGAATGAATGTGAATATCATTCAATAGAATTTGATGAGAAATCATTCATATTGAATTCATATTGAGATATAAGCCTCCCAAATGTGAGCACATTGTCGAGATCTAGAAGAGACGTGATGTTTCTCTCAGAAGAAACGTTGTTTGAGAAGCATTTGCTCTTTATTTAATCTCATCACTATCAAAGAGAAAACAATTGAGAGATCTTATGAAGAGAAAGAGATTTTTATGGGAAAAGACAATCACGGCATGAATAGATATTTTTATATATTTTTTAATATATTCAAAGCTAATAAATACAACAAACAAAAACTAATTTTATTGTATTTTTCTATTCAAACTAATTTAATGTTTTAACAGACACGTTGTTTTGTTTTTTATTTCTATTTTCAGACAAGATAAATATTGTTGAATATTTTCAAATAAGTCATAAATGTGCAAAGTGCTCATAATCACTGAAGTTGTTGGTCAGTTAGACTATAGGAAAATAATGGTACAATTAGAGTACATTATATACATTTTCTACATAAAAATTTGATTTTGCACGTTAAATGTGCAGCATAAATACACTGGGATTATTGTTCAAGTCTTGAAAGGATTAAATAAGCTGTATAAAGGAAAATATTTGTGTGTGTGTGTTAAGTAGGGGTGGGCGATATGACAAAAATATATCACGATTTGTTTTTTCAGAAATACCACGATTCACAATTTTACCACGATTCTTTGTCATGTTGGTTTTTACTATTTTGCAAGTTTTCTGAGCAGTACAGCCAAATGAATTTCCCTATTTAGAAAAAGCCTTAAAAAAAAAAAAAAAAAAAAAAAGTAAAATAACTCACCAAAAATGTGTAGAAGTACACAGTAAGTGCGCATCTTTCAGTCCGGTCTACTTTGGTTGATTGTAAAGGTCCAGCTCCACCTAAACTGAGTTTTTTGTTCTCTGACACTTTGTCATCATCGCCTCCGAATCATGCAAACCACAGCGGGGCCTGAACAGGATGCCAGCAGGCAGCACAGAGACACACATGCAAACATGCACCTTTTCTAACCGTTCAGAGGAAGTTCAAGTGGAACTACAAGCATGAAATGCAAGACGTGACATCATATTACTATAATACTGTACATCTGAGCCAAAAATGTTATTCCGTTATTAATGATGATAAAAACAGATTTCCTTTCCTTACCTAATGGATTATCTAAACATGCTTGTTGATATTTACGTGTTACTAAGTAAACTTTTGAACGCATGTTTAAATTATTGGGGGTTGCAACAAACAGGCTACAGGTTGTTTCTATATGTTTTAAATGTTGGGGTGCCAATATAGTTGCATTTCTAACCGTTCAGAGGAAGTTCAAGTGGAACTACAAGCATGAAATGCAAGACGTGACATCATATTACTATAATACTGTACATCTGAGCCAAAAATGTTATTCCGTTATTAATGATGATAAAAACAGATTTCCTTTCCTTACCTAATGGATTATCTAAACATGCTTGTTGATATTTACGTGTTACTAAGTAAACTTTTGAATGCATGTTTAAATTATTGGGGGTTGCAACAAACAGGCTTGTTTCTATATTTTTTAAATGTTGGGGTGCCAATATAGTTGCATAATCATGATTAGATTTAGAATTAAATCACTAATACAAAGAAATGAGACATTTAGCAAGATTTGACCCGTTTTGTTTAACACGGATTGTTTTGCAAAAGTTCAAATCAATGAAATGCATGCTGAGATCCGAGTAGGCTACTAGTTTCTTTTTAGCCTGTAGTGAACATTAATCTTATTTTTTGCTCAATAGCAGCCCCTGGTGGACAAGTGTGTACTGATCTGACCTTTTTGTCCAAGGTTGAACATAAAGTTTGCACTTACACAAAAGACTGATTGACTCACAAGTAAAGCAATCAGCTAAATTTGATTTTTTTTGGTGACGTTTATGGGCAATAAAACAATGCCAAAAAAATAAAAAAATTAATAAAATTATGCAGCAAAGTCGTAGATCAGTTAAAAAAATTATATTTTAAAACATACTACAGATATAACTCTCAAACAAAGCTGAATTTAGCTTGTCTAACTAAACTTTTGAATGCATGTCTGAAATGTTTAAATGTGAACTACAAGTACTACATGCAAAAAGTGCATTATAAATCCTACACTTTTGATCAAAAATGTTAATTCATCATCGTTATTCATCATGTTAATGATAAAGAAAGCAGATCACTATTTCCTATCTGATAACTTGTCTAAATATGCTTGTCGATATTTACATGCTAATAAGTGTCTCAAACTAAACTTTTTAATGCATGTTTGAATGTTTAAATGTGAGCTACAAGTACTACATCTTACATTATAAATCCTACACTCTTAACCCAAAAGTGTTATTCCATTAATAACGATAGTAAGATATTATTCTTACCTGATAGATTTGTTTGAATGTTTACATGTGAAGTACAAGTAGTACATCTTATATTATAACTCCTACACTTTGAACCCAAAAATATTATTCAATTAATAATCATAATAAAAGGAGATCTATATTCCTTACCTAATACAGTCTTAATATGCTTGTCAATAGTTATGCACTAAAAAGGTATCAAACTAAACTTTTGCGTGCATGATTGAATGTTTAAATGTGAACTACAAGTACTGAACGCAAGAAGTGCCATATTGTACATTATAATTCCTACACTTTTAACCCAAAAATGTTATTTAATTAATAATAATAATAAAAGTAGATCTCTATTCCTTACTTGATAGATTATCTAAATATGCTGGTCAATATTTATGCGCTACTAAGTGTCTCAAACGAAACTTTCGAAATGCATGTCTGAACGTTTAAATGTGAACTACAAGTACTAAATGAAAGAAGTGCCATATCGTACAGTATAAATATTACTCTCTTAAACCAAAAATTGTATTTAATTAATAATGAACATAAAACTAGATCTCTGTTCCTTACCTGGTAGATTTGTTTGAATGTTTAAATGTGCATTACAAGTACTACGTCTTACATTAAAAATCCAAAATTTGAACGTTTAAATTTGAACTATACAAGTACTACGTCTTGTTATAAATCCTACACTTTTAACACAAAAAAATGTTATTTCATTAATAATGATCATAAAACTAGATCTCTATTCCTCACCTGATAGATTTGTTTGAATGCTTAAATATGAACTACAAGTACTACAGCTTAAAAAAATCCTAAATTTGAACTTTTAAATGTAAAGAACTACATTTTGTGTTATACATCCTACACTTTTAACCTAAAAATATTATTGTATTAATAATGATAATAAAACTAAATCCCTTACTTGTCTGATAGATTTGTGTGAATGTTTAAATGTGAACTACAAGCACTAAATGAAAGGCTTGACATATCGTACTTTATAAATCCTACACTTTTAACCCAAAAATGTTATTTAATTATTAATGGTAATACAAGCAGATCTCTATTTCTTACCTGATCAATTAAATATGTTTGTTGATATTTACTACTAATTGTCTCAAACTGAACTTTTGAACACATGTTTGGATGTTTAAATAAGAATATTTATGTCTGTATGGCATTAAGCTCACAAACGTTGTAGTTGTTCCTCAAAAGGGCTCTTTGTAGCAACCTGGGACTGATAAAAACCTGTCTATCTCTCCGCAAGGTTGCGTAGAAGAGCATGCAATTGAGCGAAAACAATCCTCTTGCCATCACAACTGAATAAAGCAAGCTAAACTGATCCATCCTGCTGTAATACAGCATCAAGAGATACAGGACAGGTTTTCTTCATTTCAAAAAAACATTTATTTCCTGTATATTTGCATTTACATAAAATTAACTTTGAACTGTTCAATTTCCAAAACACATTTTAAACCATCTGAAACCATTTAATTCTAGAACAGAGTCTTATGAGAAGGCAGTTTATACTGGAGTAATGATGATGGAAATTCAGCTTTGCATCACAGAAATAAATTATATTTTAAAGGATATTAAAATAGAAACCATTATTTTATATTGTAATAACATTTTGCAAGATTACTGTTTTTTCTGTATTTTTGATCAAATAAATGCAGCCTTGATGAGCAGAAGAGACTTCTTTAAAAAACATTACAAACTTTTGAACAGCAGTGTATATTAGGGGTGTAACGGTACAGTACGGTTCATGCAGTCAGATGACAAATACAGTCAGTCATCAGTCCAAAAGGGGGCGCACACAGCAATGCAACGCTAACCTCCACAACAGCCACCACAAACATAGATTATGACTGTGACGTGATCTGTGTTTCTGACCCGAATCTCCTGCAAGTTGTGGAAGTTGTTTCCCACTCGGACCGAGATCTTGCTGGGAGTGTAGCTCTCATCCGATTTATAATCGGCATAAATACACAGCATTTTCACAGTGGTTTTTCTCCTAACAGGACACAACAGAGAGGAAACATTCTCTGATTCTATTAAAACACATACAGTTTGCAGTGGCATGCACAGACCTCCGAGGGCCCCGCTGTGAAAAGTGTCCATTATAATATTCATCATAATCATGTTTTACTGTTACTTTAGTGTTTTCTAGACATAATACAGTATGCACTGATCTCAGGTCAGATTTTTTTTAAATGAAAGTGTCTAAAGCATAATTTTCTAAGCACAGACTTATTTTTAATAGAAAATCAGCATACAGTGTGGAGATTATATGTCATCAGCATTGACAATTCAATACAAGATGAGACCTAATTTGACTTAAATTACTAAAAATGTAAAGAATGTCTGATATATATATATATATACATTAATGCCTTTTTAGTGGCTAGAGAGCAGGATTGTTGCTAGACATAATGCTTTTATATGATATAATAACAAAATGTAATAATAAGCAATGAGAGGTACATAAAAACAGGCTAAATTAAATTAAATATTTAAAACACTAAATTAACTAAACACTAAATTCAATATTTTTTTAAATACTTGAAATTCACTTAAAAAAACATCTATCGATCAGTGCATTTTTTGGGGTCTTTAGAGTTAATTTATTACTGTATAAGGATTTTAAAACATGTATATTTCAGACAGACAAGCTAAATAATTTAATTAGTTAAATATATTCAAGTTCTATAAACACTATAACTACTACATGATTTGTCCCTGACCTTATAATAATTTTCCACTTTTCTAAGACTTTAAATTTGAATTAATTTAATAATATATTATAAATAGATTATCAATGAATAAACATTATATATATTTTGTAACTGATCCAAAAAAACATTAATGTTAACCAGCCAATCACTAGCGATAAAACAACAGTATCAAAATGTCTAAATGCCGTCAGGTTAATGAACTCATGCCAAATATATCGGTTTATCAGTGCATTGGGTCTAAAAATGTTTGAGTCTCTCTGTAGCTCTACCTGAACTGAATGTTCACTAGATGTGGCTGAGAGCCATCAGACTGCCAGTACGTCTCCAGATTATCATCTCTCAACTGGTCGACTCCAAACCCTTCACACACAAAGACAATGAATGAATGAATAACTAAACAGAGGAAAACAAAAGATGTAGTAATCAGGTGTGCACTCATCAAACACAGATAATAAATAAGACACACACACACACACACACACACCTGGCTTGCACGAGGACAGCGACCACACGGCTTGTGATCCGATCTCTCGGACGGTACCCGTGCGCTCCAGCTGCTTGGGATCTATGTTTTAATTTCTTTCAAAAAAAGAAAGAATAAAAATGTACTGACCCCAAACTTTTGAACGGTAGTGTATATTGTTAGAAAAGATTTCTATTCTAAATAAATGCTCTTCTTTTTAACCATTTATTCATCAAAGAATCCTGAAAAAAGTATCACAGGTTCCATAAAAATATTAAGCAGCACAACAGTTTCCAGCACTGATAATAAATCAGCATATTAGAATGATTTCTGAAGATCATGTGACACTGAAGACTACTGGATTAATTACTGATGGAAATTCTGACGGTAGTGTATATATATATATATATATATATATTAAATT